TTTCTGTGATAAAATACCATGGGCAAAAGCAGCTTCTGGAAGAGTTTATTTGTGATTATGGTTTCGGGGGGAAGAGTTCTTAAGTGCAGAGAGGCATGGCAGCATGTAGCTAGAGCAGGAGAACTGACGCATCTTCAATTGCATGCAGAAAGCAAAGAGAACAAACTCGATTTAGACAAATCTAAACTTCTTAAAATCCACCGTAAGCACGTTCTCCATCAAGTCTCCACATTCTAAAAGTTCCATAATCTCCCCAAAATATCACCACCAACTTTGGTCTAAGTGTCCAAACTACCCGTTGGAGACATTTCTCATTCAACATACCACAAATATGAAAAGGGAAAGGGCTCAAGAGAGACAAAAACAAAAGAGTTTGGGACACTGAGAATGACAGGAAAAGTGGAAATCATGAAAGCTTGTGGTTTTGAAGGACATAGTAACCCCCTCTCACAACCTACCCCTTTATATATGAGAACAATAAACTGAATGGTTAGCCTTCCATTAGATTCAGTTGTGAATTTTGGGCTTGAGCAATAAAACAGAAGTATGTTTGGTTCACAAGACCCCACTCTGGTGTATAGACATCTCAACAGTCTAATTTCAATACTGGCCAGAACACTTCAGTGTATAAATACTGTTCTAAGTTTCCACCTTCTTATTTGTAGATCCTGAAAATAAACACAGGTTATGGTCTTGTAGGTAATGGGCATCACACTATTTTTCATCTTTCCCTTAGGAAGATGTTCACCCCAGATAGCCCTTTTCAAACCTAAACCAAAATACCATAAATCCATCCCTAGTTTATTCCCAATAGCATTAAATACATGTTAAAAAGAGAGAACCAATTCAAACACATGTAATCTCTGAAATATTGAATTATTTTTAACTTGAGACTCATAGGATAATGAAATGAAACTGCAATAAGAAAGATTAATGTGATTAATAGTAAAAGAATTTATAAATATGCTAATAGAATTCAAAATTTGTAAGTAAATACAATTAAAGGATGGAATGTCTCTAAACAAGTATATTCAAGGTGATAAGGAAGTCACATAGAAAAGAGGTATAGAATGTCCAGTATGGTAGCCCATGTTACTCTTAGCTGTTAAATAGCTTTATTTGAATGGTCATCTGTTAAAAATGCAACAGACAGTTTGTGGAGGGAGAAAAATCCCACACAGTACACAATAAGAGAACAAATCACCAAGGAGAAACCATCTTGATGAAGTAGAAATGCTATCTTAAGTCTAGCTTCATTTGATTTGCCTGTGTATAGCATATCTCATTGATAATCATATGTGAAGAAGGTCAGTGTTGTCAGAGTTCGGTCCTTATCTTGAATATGAATTTGGTACAGTAAAAATCAGACTGGCCAAAGTCCCAAAAGATGTAGACATAAGGTTCTGCTGTGGCATGAACTATAATCACTTAACTTCTCTACATCTTGTTTCCTAACTGGGTACTTTTATAGGAAATTAAATACTCATAAAGGATTGGCAGGAGAGAAGCCTCTATCGACCTCTTAGCTGATGTCCTTGTCCAATGTGTACTGTCTACTGCTCTGGATGGCCACCCCAGTGTCTGAACACCCCAGTGCATTTTCCAGCACCTCATAGCCTCACCTTCAGCCTGTCTTGGTAAAGGATGTAGTGCAGTGGACTGATCCTCAGTAGCTTTCAGATTGTGAAACTTCTTCATTTCTTTTACTTGAAATACATAATCGGGTGATATGATGTAGAATTTTTTGATGTCTTAGCAAATTAATTACACATTAACATAAGTGCATAAAAATAGGCTGTGAAGAGGAGTAAATTGGTTTTTAAATCATCAAGCTATGTCAAGCCATCAGTGTTAAATATAGTCCCAAGTAAATTTTCAGTATTGGTAAGCAGTAATAACTACATATAATGAAACTTAGAGGGTAAAACAGAAATCCCTGAAGTTATCACAGGAATACCTACATTTAAGTGTAGACTATGTTGCTTATTATTATACCTTCTTTCCCAAACATCAATCCAACAGGATAATCAAACTCTTCTCAAAATACAAGGATACATGGTCTAACACTATCATTGCCATCATCATGAAAGTCTACCACAGCAGAGAGGGTCAAAAAGTACAATAATAAAATCTGGTAGATCAAACATGAAAATCCCATCATCAAGTCATCATGTATGACCTGGAGGTGGTTATTTGGCATGTGTCAATTTCAGATCCTTTAGGGAAGATAATAAACCCAAAGTAGGACCATCAGAAAAATAATGAGACAAAACATAGACAGTGCTTATCCAACACCTGCTGGTCATTTTTAATATTTACCCCATATAGTGTTTGCTTACAGTAGTGTCTAATTTCTCCAAGTCTTAAATTCTCTAACTGTAGTGCAAATGCAGTAAAACCAAAATCTTTCTATAGTACCTCCTCTGAATGTTTTCTATACAATATAACAGATGCCATACAGCAATGTAAAATTAATTTTTCACAACCCTAAAACCATAGGTGCAATAAGAATCCCCAGCAGATCCAAACAAAAAGAAATGGGGTGGTACTTTTGTTATTTGGTTGGCTAGGGGATATTTGGGAGTTATGGTTTTTGTGATTTTTTAAAAAAATTGAACGAATGGTATTACTTTGTAGTTCAAGCTAGCCCCAAACTCACAGTCTTGCTGCCTTGGCCTCCCAAGTGCTAGGTTCCCTGGAATGTTCACCATGGTCAACAAGATTCTGTTTTAACCATGAAAATATGAATAATTAAACTAGTTAAAAGCTTCCATGTGACTGTTTTTTGTGTGTGGGGGTCTAGAACCAGGCAATGGAGTTCTGAAATGAGGTATGAGGTTGAGCTACCAGTAAAGACACAAGGCAACTTCACAAAAAGTGATGAATCTTGACATATCAGGAATGAGGCTGAGAAGAATACTGTCAAGGGCTATGGGGAGCTCACAGAAATTGGGACCCATGAGGAGGCCAGAGAGCCAGAGGAGATGCAGAGTCTTAACTGGGCTCTGTTTGGTCCATGTGGTGCAGCATGGCCCAGACATGAAAGAAGACAGAAGGAGCCAAGCCTCGGTGCCCAAGAACAGAGAACAAGTTTTTTCTGGCCTGGAAACAGCACCATTTGAAGGAAAATAGCTTCATAAATACATGAAATCACTTTTTATTTTTGAAATATATCAGCTTTGTATTAAAGATAATATTAGACCTAAATAAGCAATTATGTCAGCAGCCTAGATTTAGGAAACCACCAATGATTACAAAGTTAAAAATAAATACACCATGTTAGTGTATTATCTAAATGGCTACGAGGATCATTTTAAAATATCTCTAAGAGACAAAGAAGAGAAAGAGAGTTGGAGCTGTCTTCCTGATGAGCAAGAAGTTTATTAACATGAAGTTAAGAGATATGTAGTTATGAAATGAATTTATTTTTCAACCTATCTAATCCCCTGAGAGCTAAAGGAGCATTCTTAAACCTGAATATGAAATTTATTCTATGACTGTGATTTCCTGAAGCTAAAAAGAAAGAGCATGAAACAGGCCCTGAATGTGAAGCAATGAACCCCATTTTTCTATCTGCATGCACTGAGGGGATGTGAACAGTGACACATGGATGGTGACAAGTTGTCATGCAAGTAACCCCCACCCCCCCCAGTGCACACACACATTATACCAGAAAGTGACTCCAGGAAACAGTAGAGTATTGGAGACGCTAAGCCTGGAGCTGAACTATCAAGATTTTATGTGAGTTCTAGGTAGACCCAAAAGATTCCAGAGTTAGCATAAGTGAAACAGTCATAATCTGTTATTAGACAGCTGCCCATGTATGTACTCACACCTTTAAATTTTATCCCTAAGACCTTTAAGATGGTTAAAGGTCATGCAGTCTGTATAAACATTTGAATATGGTCGTTCTATTTTTAAAAAAAGCAGTCTAAATGCCACAGTCTGTGATTTGTCTCTGGCTCTCCATATTTAACTGAAAAGGCATCAGCTCTGAAGATCAGCCCTGTACCAGAACCAAATCGTACTGTCTCCACAGGAGTCAGAAAACACCTCCTGGGAAATATTGCTTCCATTGATTTGAGTGGCAGAAGGGGGGTCTACATTGACTATAGAACCATTCCATCTAAGAATATACTGTGATGTTTGTAAGACATTTACTACATAAATCACTCTGATGTAATCTGTTATCTTAGTTTCTTCACAACTTACATCACTTGGGTCTGCTATTCACATACATATTTTCTTGTTTCCCACTCTCTGGTTTTCAAAATCTATGCCAATAATGTAGTCAAGAAACCTTTGATCTTTACACACTGAAAGGGCAGACAGCAAGCTAGCCTTTGTGGGGAACTCTCTATTAAGCATTGTTTTTGTGTGTGTGCTTCCTTTTATTTGGGTATACAAACATGGTATTTAGAGCTGAAACAACAAAGATGTAAAGTATAAAAAATTGTTTTCTTACTTTATAAATGAAGTAGCCCTACTTTTCTCTACCTTCTATTATCTTCTCTTTTACAGCGCTTAAGAATGTTTTACCCCTGCACTTTTCTCTACCTTCTATTATCTTCTCTTTTACAGCGTTTAAGAATGTTTGACCCCTGCACCCTGAAAAGTCAGATATATGTGTACTGCTTGTTTAAGCACATATTATAAAAACAACCACAGAAGGAGTCACAGTCTTTCTCAAGATCACCCAGATCAAGGCAGACTCAAACTCCCATTGAGTGTCCCCCTAACACCAACATCAAGAGCTTTAATTTTTTTCTCTTCTATGGGTTGCTGAACAGCATCACATGACAGCAAGGTTTTAGTCATTCTCCATATCTTCAAAGGCATCACTGCACTCTCTAAAACACAATGTTCTACAGCAAAAAAGGTTAGAAGTAAAAGTTAGAAGACCCCATGGGGGAAGGAACAAAGCACAATGTTTTTCACTTACATACTTGTATGTCCAGCACCTCCAGAATGAAGGATGTTGTCAGTTCAAAGTCACTTACCCAAATCTGAAGCTTGATTCTCTTTTCATTTTTGAATACAGTTTTTACTTTGAAATCGATGCCAACTGTGCTGACGAATGCAGATGTAAAGGAGTCATCCGCATAGCGGAACAGGAAAGATGTTTTTCCCACGCTGCTATTGCCAATGATTAGCAACTTGAACATGTAGTCGAAGTTCTGGTCAGAAGAGGAGTCCTTCTGGCCAAACCTGGCATCTTGTGCAGAGGCCATCTGCAGGGAAGCAGGCATGGATCAGTATCCCATTTGATATGAAGCTAGCAGCACACTCATTATTGCCCTTGCCAGAAACAGATGTCAGAGACTCAGGAGGCAAGCAGAGAGCACTCCCCAATCCCCCTCTGATACTGGTATCCATGGCAATAATTCCCAGCTGGAGAACAGAACAGCAAATCTTACAGCTCTTTCCAGCTGTGTTGGTGCTTGTCACTGCTCAGCATTCACAAGCAATCAAAGACCCCAAAGGCGACATCTCTCAAAGTAACATGAAAAAGCAAAGATGTGAGGAATTGGCAGGGCATGACAACTCTGAAACTTTGTAATCTCAGTTAGGGGGACTGCTAAGTGACTGAGCAAGGCTTATTCCTAAAAAAATATGTGAACTATTAGTTGAGAAAAATTACAAGTACATCTCTATTTTATCTAATGACATCATTATCTTGTCAGCATCCCAACATGAATGTCAGTCTCCTTAAAATTAAAATAATAATAATGATAAATTTATATGGTTCAAAATGCAGCAGGCATTGTTCACTTATTTAACCCTCATAATAACATGAGGTAGGTACCTTATCCCTACTAATATGAGGAAGTTGAGCTTCAGAAATATGAGATGATGTACTCAAGTTTAAACAGAGGGTAAGAAGTAGAGGCAGGATTAAAACCAGGCAGTTCCTAACTTCTGACCTATTTACAGATGACATCTACAGAAGTATGCTCAGTAGTTCAGAAGGCCATATGGGAGGCATTTCTTGACAGAAGCATGGAACATCCTACCTAGGTTCAAGAACTGATTCTGTTACTAACATCTCTATGAACATGGCTTTATTTATTTTTAGTTTTCTTCATTGTATACTTGTTTTACTGTCTGAGAATTCTGTACATGCAAACAATGTGTTTGTAGGTTTATTCTAATTGATATTCTATAGTTTCTCTTATCACATGAAGTGAAAATGATATAATACCAGAATGATCATGAAAGTAATAAATACTATATTTATAAATCAGATTTATAATTCAGTATAGATAGAGATTGTTTTCTTGTTGATTATAAATGCCCTAGGTAGATGTTTATTCGTCCTCATTTTGTAATAGTTTTAATATCTATCAAAGAGTCAGTATATCACTTATAAGTACCACTGACACATGAGAGAAAAGAGGTTTTTTTTAATGATGAGTTCATTTGCTTCAGCACCTTTCTGATGCTATGAATTATTTGGCAATTGCTCTGCTAGTCAATGTGATAACCACTAAGCACATATGGCAGTTTAAACAATACTAAAATTAGACAGAATTTAAAATGTAGTTTCTTAATCACACTAGCCACATTTCAAGCATATAAACCCCCCACACACACACACTCAACAGCTAATGTACTGGATAGTTATATACAAAACCTTGGCATCATTGCAGCAAGTTCTATGGGAAATGCTAGGCTAGATAGTCTGTTTCGTGTTGAGAGAAGCTTTTTCTTTGCTAGCCGCTTTGGTTTATCTCCCGCCAGTTGCCTGGGCTCTGCCGCTTTGTAGTCCCCAAATAAACACACAAGACGCTGTATTAATTATGAAGCTGTTAGCCCTTGCTTGTCTCTTACTGGCTAGCTCTGCTTTAAGTAATTACCCCATAATTGTTAATCTAAGTATGTCTCTTACCGGAGAATAGTTCCGGGCTCCTACCCCTTGGCGTTACATCTCGAACTCTCTTGTGTTTCTCCTTCCCAGAGTCCTCTTGGACTCCTAGTCCCTCCTATCTAGATTTCTATTGGCTCAACGGTACTTTATTAACAAATGTACAGGACTTCCCCCATCAGTTTCCCATAAAGTCTGGTTAATATTTATTACATCTTCTCTTGAGAAATGCTATGAGTTCAGTAATGGTGGTCCTGTGGTGGAAGCTTGATTCTCCATCTTAGGTGGTAGAAACTTTAAAGGTGGGACCTAGTACAAGACAGGTCACTGGGAATACTACTCTCAGAAGAGAGCAATGTGACTCTCCAAGGGACCTTGGTGAGTTTCCACAACAGCATGTTGTTACAGCAAAAACAAGCCTGGCTGGCCCCTGAATTCTCTGGTTTCCTAGCTCACACAGTGATCTCTAACTCTTACATGTATTCTCATCACGTCACCCCACAATCCATGATACAGCTAGGAGACCCTCCCTAGAGGACTTACAGAGGTTGACACCATTTATTTGGACCTCAAAAATACGAACTCAACACATCCTGCTTTTTAATAAAGTATCCAGCACCAGGTATTTTGTTGTAGCAACTGAAAATGTATTAATCCTAGAGGGGGGAGTACAAAAGAAGCTCCAGCAAGGAGTAGATACCAAAAACAGCACTTGGGCTCATCTAGGACATCTAGGATGATATTACTTTCCCGAATCCAGAAGAAGCAGTGTGCAGGAGAGATGTACAGCTGACTGAAATGGGGGAAATGAGATGAAAGAACATACCACCCTTCTACACACACTTACTGGCATCAGGAGAGTGCAATCATTTGTATAAAGGTAACACACAGGGGAATATCTGTCTGTATCACAAAGTTAAAGGTGTTAAAGATCTGATTGAACTTCACATTTTCTAAACTAATACAGACTTAAGCATTCTTGTAAATCCATGTGATCACAATGACACATTCAAGGAATAGTGATGACTTGTAGAGAGAGTTTGCTAATGTGTGAACCTGGGCCTGCAAACAGGCAACCCTGGTAACTGCAACATACACGTTCTGGTACACCTTGCCTAGCATTGGCAGCCAAAGGTAAAGTTGGCTCAAACCTGTCAGTCTAACAAGAAGTTTTACAAATGGCTTCCAACATCCTAATAGGAAGGTAATTAGGTTGTGGGTTTTGTGGTTGTTTGATTTTTGATTTTGACACTGACATTCCTACAAATAAAGCCATTTCACCAATTACTAACTTTCCATAAGATGCCACTCCATGAGGTCTGAAAGTGCCTTTCATTAACAAAGTCCTTTGATATTTTGTCATGAGTCAGTTTAAATTCTGGATCAGGATTTAGGAGAGTTTAAATTCTAGAGGACTGTTGGGCCTACTAGTCTACCACATTCTACAGCCTAGAGCAGTAAAAAGCCAAGCCAACAGTGTTGTGTGTTCTCCAGTCTGCCTTAAAAAAAAGAAATTATGGAACAGGCTACTGCTATTAATAAGTAAGTTTTATGGATTCTAAAACTGAATCAGTAGAGGCATCACGAGTATAGAGAGCTTTAAATGTAATTGTGAGGATTTAGTTGCAGATGTAAGATTTACCTAGGAAGTGCCATCTCTAAGTTCAAGGGCTAATATAGTTTGTGTGTTGGAAGCAAACCACAGGATGAGATGGTATTCAGTATGACAGCTGGGGCACTGGGGAACTATGCAGACTCGGAGGAATTCTCTTGATGGTAGGAATTCAGTATTTTTTCTTTTCTCTTTTATTTCCTCACTCTTTCCTTACTTTGTTACGACCCTTCTTCCTTTGTTTCTTTGGTTCTCCCCTATATTTTGAGATAATCTGGTATGTTGTCCAAGCTGGCTTCAAAGCTCAAGCATCAATGGGTCTTCTTCCCTCAACTTCCCAAGTGAGGAACTAATTAGAAAGAATTCACAACGCTATTTATTTTTAAAGATTGTTTTTTCCTTTGTCTACTGTTGCCTGATTTATATCAGGAAAATTCACAAAGTCACAAGCGTTCGTCACAAATATGTGTGTGTTTTGTAAAACTTCTGAATAATGAAATAAATCCTGGCTCCAAAGATGAGAGACAGCTTTAATCTCATTAAGAACAGAAAATGGTTTGTTCACTCAACAGTAGCATTTGAATGTCACTGGGGCTTATACACCATTGCTTTGTAAATTTACTGTCATGTCTAAATGCTAAGTTGTTTGAATATACTAGAAATTTTGTGGGAACATAGAACTGAAACTTGAAAATGTGGATAAGCAAGCAGTTACTTATCAGACAGCGAGTCAGATTTCATAAAACATAAGCCACAACACAGAGGCCAGGGCAGGGGCATGGGGTCAAGGCCTTAGGCATTTGTACACAAAGACTACAGAAATATGATTCTAAAGGTTTGTGCCAGCTTCTGTCTTGACCAGCCACCCGTTCTGGTGTTGTAAGTCACAATAGGCACTATCAGAATGGGAAGAGGCAACCCTGTAAGAAACAGTCATCACATGCTCTGAGATGTCCTTCTGGATATCTCCTTATTCCATTCATCCAGACAGCACTTATGTTGGGCACTCTTTAGGTCTGGACCTAATTGTCCATGCTTTTCTGGAACAAAGAAATGTCTGGACCACCCTTGAGGAACGTGTTGTCAATGTACTTGTATTTCCAGGTTTCAGGGTTCCACCAACTAGAATGACTGATGAAGACATGTCTGCTTTGCATGCAAAAGCTACTACTTCTATTATTTCTATAAAACATGAGCCTACTCATGCACATTTATACATGCACGTTCACCTGCCCACCTGTGCTTTTGCTATCCCTTTTGTCAGTTGTCTCAGACAGGTGTTCACTGACTCATATTTTCAAAAGAATAGCTATCTTTTAATTCTAATGTGTCATAGATAAGGGTGATATGAGAATCATTATTTGCCAACCAGTATTTAACATATCCTTTCCTTAAGATCCTTAAGGCTCATCAGACCATGTCTGCTGGAATAGAAATTATTCATCTGTATTCGATTACAAGATTCTTATGTTGTTAAGATCAGATATACATCAAGGCCATGGGGTAGCTGACAAGTCACACAAGAATCTTTGATGGGCTACACTTAACCTAATAGCAGCAGACAGATGAGTGACTCCTAGCCTCTTCTCCAGTTACAATATGATTTTATTTTCTGGAATGAAAAGCTAAGAATGTAGAAGCTAAATAGCATGGTTCCAGACTTTTCTCATCAGGCAAAGTAGATACAAAATGCTATTTTTAAAAAATCCTAGTACTGCACCCAATTTGACTTAGACTTGCTAGCATTTGCTAGA